ATTTCTGATCATCACATAATCACCTTCTTTATATTTTGTTGGTTTAACGCTATGTTTATCCTTGTACATTTTGTTATAATTTCTAATCATATCAGTCGTTCGTAAAGCGGTATCGCGTCTAACACTCCTATCTGTTTCTAGATCATGGTCAACATCGTGCAAGGCCTTTGTGAGACGAGCTATTGCATGATCTGCATGGTTACGCTGTTCGTAATCCAACAAGAGTTTTGACGGAGTGGCCTTAATTGTAGAATGGTGCGTATTATTTATAATATACTGTATTTTGCTCAAATTCTGTTTTCACTCTATCTGAGAGTCTATGTGCTTTGTCAAAGAAGTTTCTAGAAATCTGTTCACCCTCTCTATCATACCGTTGGCCCATGGAGCCGCTACATCCATTTTTCTATGTTTAAGGGGTAACACCACTCTAGCGGTCGAAAAAAAGACCTAACTTTGACAATTTTTTTTGAGAATATAATAAAAGGAATGGGAATTTTTCTTGAGAAGGTTTATTGAGCATATATTTAAGTATAGAAAAAAATTTTTTATTATTTTTTTTATACAAAATGGCGACGAGAGAGACAATCTTCAAAATGACGTTTTTAAAAAACGCTTCCATTAGCGAACCAATTTCTCGTGAACTATAAGACCTAGAATAAAAAACCAAAAAATTTTAAATCTACATACTATTGCCTATAGAAGTACGTAGGGATTTTTTATTTTATCAAATTTGCAGAAACGGTGCACTTTTGAAAAAAAAATTCAATTTTATGCCAAAAATAAGCAGTAAATTGTTTATAAAATAAAAAGTTTACATTGAATCGAAAAACCCCTACGTACTTCTATAAAGGATGTAATTGTGAAGCTACTGTCAAATTTTCAAACTGATCCATGCAACCGTGTTGAAGTAATGTGTTCGCTAAGATTGAAAAAAGTGGTTTCGAGAAAAACGCGTTTAAAGTTTCACGAGCACTTAAAATGCTTGAAATTTATGTTTACCTTTAATCAGCGATGCCTGTACTGAAATACAAGTTTATTTTGGCAGTAGCGTACCCTGGTGATCTTTTGAGTAACTCAAGCATCTTCTGCACTATAAATAACAGGGCCACTTATTATCCTGAAGGTAAAACAGGATGACAAAAGCGATGAATCCGAACGCGCCGCGTTAAGGCTCAAGCGGCGCTCCGAGGCGCTGCGGAAAAATCGTTGGTAGAGGCTTTTAAAAAATTTTTTTTACTATAAACCAAGTGCATGTTATTTTTATGATGTTAAAGCATTGTTTAAAGCAAAAAAAAAATTGATTTTTTCAAAATCCTAGAGTGGTGTTACCCTTAATATTCTGATTCTGTAAATAATCAGTGAACTCTTTCGAAGTGAATGCGGAAGTTCTATCTGAAACCAACTTTACTGGCTTTCCAAAAATAGAGAACAGATTGTCCAGAAGCTTCATTGCCTCTTTCGCACCGGTAGATTTAGTTGAATATAGCCACGTCAATCTGGTGAATGCATCAATTATAAGCAAAACATGTTTATAGCCATCTACAGTTTCCTGAAGTGGACCGAAGTGGTCTATGTGTATCAATTCTAAGGGAGACTTTGGCAACGGATACAATTGAGTCTCGCTCTCCTGTCTATTGAAGGAACTGTTTGCGGTAAGACATATAAGACAATTTTCTATATAATTCAAAACGCGTTTTCTCATCCTGGGAAACCAATAATTTTGTTTGATACCAATTAACGTTTTTTCATAACCATTATGTCATCGTGGTGCACTCTAAGTATATTTGTGACCATTGACTCTGGCACGACAAATCTCATTTCACCATCTATTCTTTTATAAACCAAACCATCTATAAGCGCAAACTTATCATTCTCTTCTAATTCTAATTCGCTGCTTATTTTAAAAATTTTAGGGTCTGCTAATTGGAGGAATTCAAGTCTTCGCTCCAGTGGAAATTCATCCACAAATGCAACGCTACGACTGAGGGCATCTGCGTGTACCATCCTATTACCTGGCCGGTGAGTAATGTCAAATGTGTAATTTTGTAAGGCTAACGTCCACCTAGCTATCCTAGGGTTCAGATTAGCTTTTTTGACTGCGTGTACTAACGCATTACAATCTGTAATTATACTGAATTTAATACCATACAAATATAAATGGAATCTTTCCACCAATCTCACAATTGCTAACATTTCCAGCTCAAAACTGTGGTAACGCGATTCAGCCGCATTAGTCGACTGACTGAAGTAAGCTACAGGGGCCCATGAACCGTCACACTGACGTTGGAGGAAAACCGCTCCTATACCTCCACTACATGCATTGGTATGCAACTGAGTCTCAGCCGCTGGATCAAATAGTCTTAACACCGGGTAAGATGTTAATTCTTTTTTAATATTTGAGAATGCTTCGACACACGCGCCATTAAATTCAAAATTTACATCCTTTTTTAGCAAGTTTTGCAACGGTTTGACTTTGAAAGCATAATTTTTTATGAATTTACGAAAATAATTGGAGAGGCCTAGAAATCTTTGTAACTGAATTTTATCTTTAGGCTGTCTATAGTTGTGCACTGCCTCCGTGTGCCGCGGACTTAACGTAATTCCCTCTGACGAGATTACATATCCCAAAAATTCTATTCTTTTTCTCAAAAATTTACATTTTTTAAAGTTAAGTTCGAATCCATATTTTTTTTAGTATTAACATGACTTCTTCTAAGGTGTCTAAATTTTCTTGTATTGTTTCAGCTGGGATTAAGACATCGTCGATGTAAACAATAACCTTGTCTTGCCTAATCAAAGGGTTTAGAATTTGAATAAGCCTTTTCTGAAATTCGGCCGGTGCCTTACAGTAATCAAACAGTAAGCGAATAAATTCAAATTGACCATCCGGGGTCGTAAATGAAAAATACTTAGACGAATTCTCGTGTACTTTAATCTGATGAAAACTATCTTTGAGATCTAGTAGAGTAAAAATTTTTTTATTGCTTAACTTGGAAATACATTTCCTCAATTATTGGAAAAAGATATTTTTGCTTGTGAACCCGGCTATTCAGAAGTCGGAGGTCTACGCAGAGCCTTAATCGACCGTCTTTTTCCCTAACAGGTACGACCCTGGCGCAATACGGTGATACGCTCGTCTTAATGATACCTCGCTGGAGAAGATCATCGATAATATCTCAGATTTGCTTCCGTTCCGCCATTGCGAATCGCCTAGGGGCATACGCGAATATCGAAGAATCCTTTATATTTACTTCTACACGGTAATCATCATTTACTGAAAAAATATTTTGTGTCTGAACTCTAGATATCAATTTTTCCAAACCAATTTTTGTATCCGTATCAAAGTCTATTTTGTATTATTTGTTTCAGCGTTTCTGTTTGCCCCTCGTCGACACACAATGGAAGCATCGCAAACAAGTTGACCTTCTCTTCCTGTATTTTCGCCACAGGATTATAGACTAACGTGAGTTTGTTTTCCCGCAAAAACTCGCGACCAATGATAACATCGCTTTGAAATGATTCGTTTTTCAGAACATATAAATTTGCTTGAAATTCTTTTCTTTTTAGGAATTCAAAATTTAACGTTACCTTAACTAACAAGGAAGTTCGGCAAGTGTAAAATTCAAAAAAATCTGAAACTTTGTATAAGTTTAGAGTAGATGAACCTAATCACGAAACAATTTTTTTTAGCTGCTAATATTCGGTTTTAGGGGTGCAGCATCCCCTTAAATAAAATCGGTGTTTACGTTTTCAAGCGAATATTGCCGAAATAATGAGAAATATAAAAAAATGTTTCCAGCAAAAGTTTTATGGTTTCGAAAGTTCTTTATAATGGCATGATCATATTTTGCAAAAATGTTTAATTTTTCAAAATACCCCCACCACGTATCTTTTTTTTTCATATTTAAATTTTTCTTGCAACTAAAATTAAAGTTTATTTCACGCCAAATTCAACCATATATAATAAAGTTGCGATCCGTAAACGTGTTTTTGAGAAATAAACTGAAAACATCTTTACAGGGTATGCTGTCAATTTTATCGGCCCGCTAATTTTGGCTACGACTTCTCTTTCTCCCCTTCTCTCTGTAATTTTTCGCAATACAAGATAACGATGAAACAGATGTTCGTAATAAATCTAATCACGTAACTGATTTTTGTATATTACACATTTTATAAATAATATAGTAGTTTTTACAAAAATAAGATATTATTTATTCTATATAATTGTTACAATAATGGTATTGTTCAAAGAAGTGTTCAAAACAGAAGTATTTTTTGCACCATGCACAACGTATAAAAGCCATTTTATCACAAATGCTACATTTCGGTATATGTTTTTTTTCTTTAAAATAACAGTAATTGATTGGATTTTCAAACTTTTCAGGCCGTGTTGATAAATAGCCACTTTTATACCAACTATATTTAAATAAATTTCGAAATCTTGGAGAAGAAAGTTGATTGTGTGCCAAAGACTGTAATTTTATAATGTTATTGCGTAAATGTAAATTTATATCGTAATTATTTAAAATAACATTATCAGAGAAGCTTCGAATAAAATTTTTCCAGATTCTAAAGCCAAAAACATCTAAAAGTTGTATAAAAGCAGTTGTTTTTTTTGGTATTGTTAAAATATTTACTTGTTTGTCTTTTGGTACAAGTTCTATTAACTGTTCCGGGCAATGGCCTGTCCATGAATCTAGCAACAGCAAACTTTTCTCTTTAGTATTCGGAAGATATACCTCTAAAAACCAATTTTTAAAGTGTTGGGTTGTGAGCTTTCCGGATTTTGAAGCCGCAATATAAACATTAGCAGGTCGAAAAAGAGTTTCTTCTACTCGTGGTCCAAACGACCCAGTAGTTTCTTTTAAGACTATATATAGAGGCGAAAGAAGATACCCGTCCGCAGATATAATTGGCATAATAGTATAACTATGACTTATAGAAGATAAAGATTGAACAGTAGCTTCGACTGTCTTTACTCCCATATTAGTTAAGGTTCTTCCAGAATGTATTTCTAGATTAAAACCGCTTTCATCTGCATTATAAGTTGATCCTTCACCAGTTATAGCAATATGTGGTTTTACATTTGTCACAAATTCTTCTGCATTTTGACGTATCAGTGCATCAGCTTGTAAATTAGATTGCGTTTTAAATTTTGTTATTTTACGTGATGTAATGCGATGAGCTTTTTTAAAATTCCATATCCACCAATGTCCTGCTTTAAATGTAGCAAAATTCACTTGCTTCTTTGCTTCTAGCGCCCACCTTCGCAAATCGATGTCATGAATAATAGATCCTCTATCAATAGTTTCTTGAAATTTTATTAATACATATTCGGCAATGAATATCAATTTGTCTTTGTTTGTCCCTCCACGCATTATATACTCCTGCCATCTGTACAATTGCGAAACATGTTTTACCTAAAAGAGAAAAAAGATCCAATATTTAAAAGATTATATCAAACACAAGAAAATTAATCGAATGCAGATGAACATGCGACATGAAACGTTGTTCCTGACTTTTGTTTATTATCCACTATGATATTCATACACGTTTATCTATATTTAGTTAGTATTGTACTTATTTTTTAATGAGAATTTACCTTTCTAAAACGATTCTGTACAACAGAAACGGATAAACGTCTTTTTTTTCCACTGTTCCAATATTCAACCGCTTTTTTTTATAATTTAAATCTACACTTCCACCTTCGTCATCTACAATACAAACTTCATCTTCATAGTTATCTTCTTCAGCATGAGGATCATACGAATCTACAAACTGTACAGCTTGAGGTTCCGATGGATCATCAAAATCAAGTCCCCAATCATATTCAATCGTAATATCGTCTTTTAGAGAATCCCTTATTAAATTTGAAATTGCATCGTGGAGTTCTACTTCACGATGATTAACAGGAGTGACAGCGAGATTTGCAATGTGAAACGTTGTAATTAACAAATTTATAACGTTCGCCGTATTTATGGCCAACATTTTGACATAAATGCTTGAATAAATGTTATATGAAATTTTCCCACAGAAAGTATCACACGTACAATATATTAAATAACATGAATGAAATGCAAAAGCGGATGGCTTTTATACTAATTGTATAAGGACAACGAACATTAAAGATAGCCTTCCCATAACCTTCCCTTTTATTGCATCACATCAATCTCGATAATCTTTCAACCTTTCAACTATTCAAAGTTGATAACGTTCTCATAAATATAATGACGTACATAACAGGAAATATTACATATACGTTAGTGCATCCGTGTTTATTTCATTCTAGACGATAATCTTTAATTTTTTTTACCAAAGGTCTAAATCAAAATTACTTTATCGATAACTTTGATTTTTCTCTTACGATATATTTTGACTACTATATTATTTATAAAATGTGTAATATACAAAAATCAGTTACGTGATTAGATTTATTACGAACATCTGTTTCATCGTTATCTTGTATTGCGAAAAATTACAGAGAGAAGGGGAGAAAGAGAAGTCGTAGCCAAAATTAGCGGGCCGATAAAATTGACAGCATACCCTGTAAGGATGTTTTCAGTTTATTTCTCAAAAACACGTTTACGGATCGCAACTTTATTATATATGGTTGAATTTGGCGTGAAATAAACTTTAATTTTAGTTGCAAGAAAAATTTAAATATGAAAAAAAAAGATACGTGGTGGGGGTATTTTGAAAAATTAAACATTTTTGCAAAATATGATCATGCCATTATAAAGAGCTTTCGAAACCATAAAACTTTTGCTGGAAACATTTTTTTATATTTCTCATTATTTCGGCGATATTCGCTTGAAAACGTAAACACCGATTTTATTTAAGGGGATGCTGCACCCCTAAAACCGAATATTAGCAGCTAAAAAAAATTGTTTCGTGATTAGGTTTATCTACTCTAAACTTATACAAAGTTTCAGATTTTTTTGAATTTTACACTTGCCGAACTTCCCTTTAAGCCAATAACATCTAATTTTTGGTCTGATAAATTTCTTAAGTTGCATTTTGTACCAATCAACGATTTCGCGTCTGATTTTATGAATTTATAAAACACGCTCGCTTTTACGAAAGATACTGGGTTACCCGTATCTATTAACGCTAACAGATTTATTTTTTGCTCAGGTAGACTCACTCGGATCAGGGGATCGCCTACCACCAATTCCGTGGACGTTTCCTGGACGGCTGCTATCGCTGCGGACTCCTGGAGCTCCTCCAATACAGTCGCCGCCGCCAATGTCGCACCGGTTGGTTTTGGGGCCGCCCTGGGTTCCTTTCTCCTCAGGACCGGACAATCGAATCTGCGGTGGCCCTTTTCCTTGCAGTAAAAGCAGCTTGGCTCATCTCTGCACTCCTTGTGTGTGTGACCCTTTTTCCCGCAGTTCTTGCAGGCATCCTTGGCCTGCTTGTCCTTGAACTGCAGATGCAACTGCGACGTCCTCCGGTCTACCTCTGCCGTGCCCTGAGCGATGGTCCTCATCCTGTCGAGAAAGACGTCCATCGTGTCGGCCGTGAGGGACAACGCCGTCGCCTTCAGCGAAGTCTGCTAGATTCCGCTAATCAGAAGTTGGATCCGGTCACTCTCAAGTAGGTCCAATCTATGCATCATCGCAAGCTTGTTGATGGCATAGTCGTCGAAGGACTCCTTCGCCGGAAGCCACTTCCTTGACTCTAGCTTCTGCATAGATCTATAAAATGGTACCTTTCTATTAAATATTTTCAAAATTTCAGCCCGTAGGCTCCTCCAAGACTCTACCGCTACGTCACCCTGGGTGTCAAACCATCGACGCACCGACTTGGACAGCCGACTGGAGGCTGCCAACAGAGTTGCGCCATCCGAAGCTCCGTGCACCTGGGCGACCTTGTCCACCCGACGGACGTGCGTGGACGTTGTCGTCGTCAGCCCTGGCGAACTCAGGTATCTGGTGGGCCAACGCCTGCACTGCCGACCCTGAAGGCCAGGACTCCGTCGACCGCCGCTCCGACTCGCCCGCCGGTGATGATCGCATCGAACTCAGGTTGCTTTCGGTAAGCTGATCTGACTGCGGTTGCCTCGTTGCTTCACATCTCTGCTCCATTAACATTTGCACTATCTGCGTTAGTTGCTGTTGCTGCTGCTGCATCGCCGCTAGCATCTGCTGCAACACAATCGTCGAGTGATCCCCAGTACCGGTCACTGACGTCTTTCGCCCTTGGAACGGTCCTGGAATCTCGACTGCCTGCTGTTCGGTCGCGACGGATGGAGCAACGGCTTTCGAAGCGGACCCCGACAACTGATTGCCTGACGCCAACTGACGCAACTCCTGAGCCGGGCCGTGTTTCTCAAGGTGAGTCATGATTCGGTCAATCACGTCACTCCAGGAACCCGTGGTTGCTAATCCAAATTTCGCCGCTTCTGCTTTCAGCTGCTCAAGGTTGAGTTTCTCCAGGCCGGCTCTCTCCATCGTTAAACGAGCACGTGCTCTCACCATGCACGTATGTTACCGAACAAAGAAGTTCCTTGAATAAAGGTCGTTCTTGTTTTCTTCTGAAGGAATGTGTTTTTTTTGCTCCAGTTTTTTTTCCTTTCCGACCGCGTTCCGATAACTGTTTTCGCCGACGATTATCGCTTACTTTTATGCTCGGTCTTGTTAACTATTCTAATTAATCGTTCACTATTGTTCACTAACATCCACTTCTGAGATGTAAGTTAACTAGTTTAAATATTTGCACGCTTCCTAGTTTAATCAAAAGATATATTTAGGAGACGAGAAAAGGTGGCAAGCGGGCGCGCAGATTGAACAAAGCGGATTAATTATAGGAAATATTAGATTTGAGCAGAATATCTAACACCAGTAATAATTAAAGTAAAGAACTAATATATTTAAAGTATCTTCAAATATAATTAAACAAAAGACTTTCCGAATGACTCCCGTATACCGAACGCGTCTGATCCGTGATACTTTCCGAAGGAGAGTGTCGGCTCTCCCGCCGGTCTCGAGGTGGTTCGCTCTCGTGGAGCCGCGCATGCTCCTTGGACACCCGTATTGGTGGCAGCAGCTGACGGGCTGACAAAGAACGGTAACAGACATGCGCGCGCGTAGCTTACAATATATGTGTGTGTGTATGTGTGTGTAATATTATATATATAATTTTTTAAGTATGTTCTGGTTTTAAAAAATATTTTCGAAGCAAAATGATCTTGAAGAAAATGTTTCATGCAACCGATGAATATACAGGAGAAATAAGAAGGATTAACTTTCAATATAAAGGATAAATTATCATATTCATGATATAACATTAGACATATGTAATTACATTGATATCTACTTATAATTTTTATATTGTTACGTGAGAGTTAAAAGACAGGTGCCGGCGCTTACATGATTCTTGAGACGTTAGGTATATGTCTCGAGAAAGAAAGAGATAGCAGATTCTTGTCTGCGCTCTTCTACCTGAACGTCGAGCCGCCGAGCGGTATATGTATGTACACATGGTTTCTTCGTCATGTGGGTAGCGGACGAATGTGACATTTCTTCGACGAGCATAGTTGGCTTTTCCCTAATCAAGATTTTTATGTTGCCACGCTCTCTTTCTCTCTTTCTCTCTCTATCTCTCTCTCAAATTTCTCGAGCTATTATACACACATATACATGTGTAAAGTATATAAATATATGTATGAAGATTTGCTTTGATTTTATTTTTATACAATAATATGTGTAAACGTGAAACAATAATCTGACTTAAAAAAAATTCGATTAATAAAGTTCCTAAAAATAATTTTAC